CGGCGGTTCCTCCGGCCTGTACCTGCACAGCAGCTTCGACGTTGCCTCTCTAGCTGCGCTCGGAAGTTACGACGAGGGCCTGTCGGTCGCCCCGGTGGGCTCCTTCACAAGTGCGGCACAGCCACAGGCCCTGCACCAGCAGCAGGGTCACAGCCAGTAAGTGGGAAGGACAGGGAAGGAACGTACGTCTCGGCTGCGTTGGCCGTGTGAAATAAGTTTTCTGTTCAAGACGGGTTATAATTTGTTTTCTTCTAGTAGTGTTTCGCTTCTGCAGTGTTAGAATTGTATTGCGCTCATCTTACGGCTTTTAGGGTTGTTGGTGGGGGATGAAGGAGCCTTCTGAAAGGAAAGAAGTGTGATTAAGTTTACCAACACCTTGACATGCTTTTAAGCTCATGTACTTTTTTTTACTTTAGTTTTTAACTTGCTCTTTCTCATATGTGAGCACAAAAAACTTAAATTATTCCATAAAATGTTGTATGGTCATACTTAATTTGAGTATGTCACCGTGAGACAATGTATTAAGAGACTGAAGTTGGATCACGTGTTGCTTCTTGAAGCACTTGAATTTTAGCAAAAATTGGTCTTGCCCCTTGTGGAAAAAATAAATAACGTAAAGGAGGAGAAAGTAGCACAGAATTCTGCTTGGAGAGCTGAGTAATTACAGTCATCTTTGACTTTCTTTGGAACAAAGTGGTCACTTACTGTCCAGAACTTCCAGTCCCTTCACGGCTGGTGACATACTGCGACTGTTGCTCTTAACTGCAAGTGAAACTTTGAAAGGGAGGAAAATACTGTTTGAAAATCTCAATGTCACTGGAAGATATAATTAGAAGCTAAATAACCATTTGTTTTTCTTTTGCAGTGTCTCTGTTCGTTGTGGAAAGAAGCATAAGCTAGAAGAAGAGGCGGAAGGGTAAATTAAATTTGTCTTTTATAGCCTGAAAAATCTTAATTTGCTTTTTGTTTTCTGTAAAGATTTGAGCACATCTCACCTACAACATACGCAGGAAGGGAAATTCTACCATTGTTTCCATTTGGAACTCTTCCACTGAATTGCACATAAGCCCAAATCCATTTCAGTTACCTAATTAATTGTGTAGCACTGATTTTCTTGCATGAGTACCCACATTTTAATAAGAGCAATGTGGATTTATTTTCTTTGTGGAGGTTGTGTTTCCATAGTATGTCAAATCTGTTGAAATGCACTTGACTTTCTATAACATTTTTTCCTGTAGAATGCCACATTTCTCTTTTGACCATTGTAAACTTATTTTGTTTCCTAGTTGCCCTGTGAGGAAGAAGAGACTGACAGGAGCCAAAAATTGCCCTTTGAATCCCAACACTGAAGAATGGATTCTCTGTGCAGGTCAGGAGGCAGCTGGGGAGGTAGCAAGTCAGTATGGTGGCAGCGGTCCTGAAACTGCCATGTTAGAAATTCCCTGTGAAGAAATGGATCAGACAATGGGGGAACAGCAATGCGAGGTTGCTCGCAGGAAGCTTCAGGAAATTGAGGACAGGTAAATGCAGGGATTGAGTAGACTGGCTTTGCTGAGCTTTCCCTTTTTTGGTGGGCATTAAGGGTTAAATCTAGTGCTTAGCAGTGTGATAACACTACTGTAAATCTGAGATGAACCTTCTGTTCAAGTGATTTCTTTTTAGGCTACCTATGGTCCTCTGAGTTTTGGGGCTGATACTATGATCTGAAATTGAGGGTGCTAGATCAAGAGATGCTGAATAAATAACCACCTTTTCACAATCATTATGCAGCATCAGTGTACCATAATGGGGTTTTATGCTCTTTTGTGAGTATCCAGAGCACAAATTTTAACTGATGTTACCTGGTCAGACTTGAGGTCAGCTTTTTTCAACCAATTGCAGCTTGTTTTGTGATTAATACTTCTAAATGCTCAAGATAGATGTGAATTTGTCAGTGTAGAGAATAGCATGAACCAGAGAGATCTCTCTGCACATATGCAATAAGACTGAGGTTCATCTTGCTGTTAAATACCAGATGGCTTGATATTGGGGTAATGGGGTGGCTGTGGGCAGTCTATTGCTATCATTTAATAAATGTACTGTGCATTCTTGCCTTTGAAAGATTTCTGGGAATGTCACGTGTATATATCAGTTGATTGCAGTTGAGCTAGTATCCCGAAATATCTAAAATGACCACTGCAGACAGTTGTTAGAAAAGCCAAAAGTTATATAAATTATAAAACAAGATTTTTTTTTAGATGATTACTCCATAGATGATGCGTGAAGGGAAGCAAGGTACTGTTAGATTTTATTTTTTCATGGGTAAATCAGAGTAGTGCTGTATGTCTTCATTATCTGGCTATATCTGCATTACAGAGTCTGCTTTGGACCTCTCAGAGGACTGTACCCCATCCTTCCCAGCTACTCTGCTAAATTTTCTTTAAAAGGTTTACCAAAAACAAAGGAGATATCTCCAGTTTGTTCTAAATGCATCAGTTTTTTGTGCCGTTTTAATCTCTGAGAAATTGATGCGATGTCCTTAAAGGTTAAGAACTGTATTCAGTAGCTTTTCAATAATTCTAAAAGTTAAGATACGGGGAATTGAGCAGGCGAAGCTACTGCATAACTGAGACTCACTCTTGTAATGTGACTGAATCATACACTTTCCCCTGAAGTGAATTTATTTATTTTCACTTAGTGTATGTCTGCATTGCACACTGCTGGACGATGCAGGGATAACAAAGCTAGCTCAGGTACCAGAAGTGGCATAGCTGCTCAAGTGGCTTCTATGGTAACAGTCATTCTTAGGGTATATTGGCCCAAGAGAGACTCATGTTAACCTGGCCCCGCTGCTTCTGGTACCCAGCCTAAGTCAGATATCTACACTGTACAATGCAGTGCACGTATACATAACTGTAGTCTGCAGTGGATGTGCCCGTTAACAGTATTCTCAATAGTGTTTTATCTCCCTCTTCCCCCTCCATTCCTAGGATAATTGATGAAGATGAGGAAGTTCATGCTGATGGAAATGTTAGCAATCTGCCCACTCTTATCCTGTCAGATACCCTTAAAAAAGGGATGAAGAGGGATTTTGGTGGAGTCCTGACAAAGAAAATAATAGAATCTATGTAAGTTCTGGAGGAAATCATGGTGCTATGTAGCTAACACATGCAAATGAAAAGAGAGACCCAGTCTCATGTTTGTGGAGATGTCCTTAATTACTGCATGATGCAGCCAACATTGTATAACAGACCATTCATCTGGTCAAAAATAGAAAAAACTATCCAAATGTAAAAGAGAAGTAAGTGTAACTACAGTGGTCAGCAAGCTGCCCGTTTTTTACTCCTCATTTGTACACAGTGAAATTTGTTGAATAAACCATTATATCTTGATTTTTATGTATGTGAGTTTCCAAAAGAAAGAAGGTCCTGAAGTGTGACCGACAGTGGTCATCAAGTTTGGTGCAAAAGAAAAGAAAGAAAATACAGGGTTAGAACTAGAAGTAATGGAACTAGTTAAGGAAGAGGAAATTTAATGGCGGGGGGGGAAGGTATGTGGATTCTGGAATATAGTTCCAGGCTAGCAAAAAGGATGAAGATGCTCACTGGTCTTCTGCATTTAATAGTTGTGATGGGAGAACTTAAATTTAACTGAGACTCCATCCCTTTTAGGAGCCGTCCTTCTATGGAGCTGGTGCTTTGGAAACCTCTTCCTGAATTTCTCACAGATAAACTGAAGTCTGTTTCTGTTAAGAACTTCAAGCAGCAGAGTACAGAAGGGTGTCAAGCTAAGGAGTCAACACCAAGAGCTGCTTTTGACCCACAGACTGAAACATTCCCTGAATCACAACAGACTGCCATGTCTCCAGATCCGTATGCTAGTTTGGGAATCTCTGGGTGTGCAGAAGAAGAAATGGAGTTGTAGATGCCGGATTTTAGACTGGAAGTGGTGAGCTTCTGATGTTTTTTGTTGCTGTTTTTTGATTCCCTTTTTCTTTCTGGTTTGATGTGTGAATCTGAAGTTTTATTATTTGTTTTTGTTTTTCCTACTAACAATCATAAGAACTTAGATTGGCCAGACACAACTTAAGGAAACTGAAAAAAACCCCAAGATTTCTGTACTCTGGTCTGTTAAATATTCTTGGTTTTACTGAGAAGGTAATGCAGCGGCCTTTGGAACAAGGAAGTAGCTTTCCATCTTGTTTCATGGTGAAATATCTTAATTGTCTTCGGTAAAGTATAAAATCCAAGTATTGAATGTAACTGTGGCTTAAGCCACATCTTTCACTTACTGAGCCATTAAGTCTTTGGTGCACATACTATGCTTGGTCAGTTAGTTTAATTTGAATTACAAAAAGGTGTGGAAAGGAGGAAATACTTTTGAGTCTAATCGCAAATAGAAAAGCAAGGCCTATGGAAATACAGCTTTTCACACTATTTCATCTGTGGCTATTTCATCTGTGGCTGGTTTGTACTTGATGTAAACTCAAATGTAGAAATTACACATTCTGCAGTGTGGTAGGGAAGGAATGTTATAGCTGAGCATAAGCCTCTTGCTTTGTAGAAAGTAAAACCAGCTACTAACTTGCAAGATATGTACTAACTTTAGTTATCTTTGGTTCATCATTGGCTCCTAAATTGTGTTTGTGGGTTTTTGATGCTCCCCTCCTCAAATGATGCAAAGTCTGGAGAAAAGTGGTTCTCGGCCAATTGATTCACATTTTACATTGTGCCGTGATTCTTTGTATGCATCGAGTTGGAAAGTCAGTTGAAGACAGTGTAACTTTTGATTAAATAAATGGCATCCTTCAATTTTGATAAACATGGGAAGTAAATCAGATAACAGGAAGCTGATTTTCTGGCGTAAAGAGGGTCAAATGCTGATTATCATCTGTAGCCAAGTCCCAAACTTTGAGACTGCTGGCATTGGTGGTAAAGTAAAAAAGATGCTTGTCTTCTTCCTGAGGGAATCTAGACTTAAAATTTGAGCCAGAACATGTGCTATTAACATAACGTCACATAGTTTATACAGATGTATGCAAAAAGAATTTTGTACCCTGTTTAGGGTGTTAAGAAAAGGAATCCTCAAAGAGTTATTGCTTGTACCTTTCCTCAATGCACAACAGTTCCATTATGCTTAAAACCCTTAAACAAGGCAGAGAATCTTATCTTCTGTTCTTAAGTCCTTGAACTTTCTCAGAGGTATCTGAATTGAGGCTTTTTGTAAGAAATTCCTTTCCAAGTAATAGGTTCTGTTTGGTCTTAGCAGCCCAGTCTGTTTTTGACATCTTGCTAACATAAAGAAGCAAGTACACAGTAATGCAGCTATTTGCATAAGAAAATCTACTCTTCCTTTGCACAGCTAATTGATAATCTTTGTGATGGTATTTTTTACTGTTGAATAACCCATAGTCGGTAGTTTAAAATCAAGCTTCTCTTTTTGCAGTCATCCTTTCTTTTCTTTTGGCTGACAGCAGAAGCTTTGTTCAAAAGATACCCCTATTTGTTAAATCCTGTCTATATTGCTGCTCTTGTCGAAGGTTGTGTGAAATTTGCTGTCTCTTGCTAAAACATTTCAGAGCTTCACTAAAAACATTCCAACATTTGAATAGGTATTACTCTGGAAACTGGTGTATAACTTTACCATTCTGGAACTTTTATTAAATTGGAGAACGTGTGCAGCTTTATCTTGCTATTAAGTCTAATTTCATTTCAGGGTCTGCTATAAATCTCTTGCATGTACTGTGTAAAATTTCTCATGTATTATTAAGCTGCTGAACGTGCTTAAAACGCTACATTGCTTGAGTGTAAAGTAAAGCAACGCAGTTTGAAGAAGGCTGTAGTCATTGCGGGTAGAAAATGTGCCTCCAAATAATTGCCTGTTTTTAAGCTTGCAGGATTATAGTGAAAGTTCAAAGTTGGAACTGTTTTAGCTGATAGCTCTGAATCCTAAATAAACTGAAAAGAAAGGACAAAAAATACAAAAATTTGATGAAACCATCTCAGCAACATTAAAATTGTGACAGAGGATGTAGAAAACTGTCGGAGGCTTAAGTATGTCAAATCTAGATGCAGTTTTTTCCTCTTAAAAATGATAAATTGCATATCAAAGTTGCAGAAGAAAAATTTTTGTAGATGGCTTTTAAGCATACTTTTTTCCTGTTACATTTGTACCAAAGGTTGACTTTCAGAGGTGTATTTCCTCTTAGTTGTTTGATGCTAATACAGCATTACTGACCCCTGTTATTCTGCTGTCTGAAACAAGAAGATAGTGGTGGACTATTGACAAAGACCATGAGATGGGGAAAAAACTGTGTCCAAGAAATTTGCTTTGGTAGAAAACATTTATTTTAATTTTTTTTGTAATTCATTTCTGCCCTTGTGATAGGAGAGAACAGGGTTGAATCATTTAAATTGATGGGGAAGGAGAAGAATGGGGTAGAGCAGGAATCTCAAGTATCTAGGAGGACTGAGCAAGATTCTTGCAATAGCAATCATATGGAGAGGGTGAGAGAGAGCAAGCTACTGGGTGTTTTCAGACTTCTGTATTTGTAAGTTTCATTTGTTGTTGGCTTCCTTAAAAGACTTTCACTAATGCTGTTTACAAGCGGGATGGCAAATGTGATGCAGTATTAGGAAAAACTTTATTTTGAAATATGGAAGATTTGATTCTGGTCTGTCTTCTCTTGGGACCAAATCACCCTTTGTATGTCAGTTTTCAATAAATTTTCTAAAATATTTTGTAGATGGCTGTGTTTCATTCCTAATAAAAGTGAAAATCTTGAGAGCATATGTCCAGTCCTTCAACTGGAGGGTAAAATACGCTTCTGGCCTAAGAAGATTTTTAATTTAACTGCATAGTCCCAAGGGCATGTCACTGCTTTCCTCCACAGTGTTCAACAGGACAGGGAGGGACAACGGCAGGGTAGAATAAACCTGAAGCTGCCAGAGAGGAAGAGTTGCTGTAAATCTGTCATGACCCAAAGGCCTCTAACAAAGCACAGGGGTACCAAAGGTGTTGCTATAGCTTGTGTGTTCAGATCTTTCATTTTACTTCAGACTAAAATTAAGAATGCCTAGCTTGCTTAGTTCTGTATAAAATCAAGAAGTGTTCGAGGAGAGTTTTAAAACAAATTCAGATTTTAATAATTATTTTATTGGAATGTAACACTTTGCTCTTTTGCTTAACATCTTCTGTTCAAGAGTTTTTCAAGCCAGCTGAAGGATAAAGATGGGTGTGCTAGACCAGTATTACCTTTGCTTTCAAAATGAAGGAAAAATAGCACTCAGATTTATATTAAAAAATACTAATAAAAACCCCTGAGGTTTCTAGGCCGAGTCAAACATTGACTCGCTTAAATTGTACTGTGGATTTAGACAAGACTTAAATACTTCTCCAATGCAGAGTCGGAGAGAGGAAAAGAATAGTGTAAACCCAACCCATTTGGGATTGTGTAAGGCTCTCTTGGCTGGGTGAGTCTCCTTGGGGATGTGGCTGGGAGATCATGTAGAGATGGGAGGAGTATCTCAGTTAAGAGCCAACCCTGAGAGAGGGACAGAATTTATTTTGGCATGGACTTGGAACTGGACTTGTAATTGTTCCAGAGCCTGTGTTTGTATCAGTTAGCTAGAGCAGATGTGTGGCTTCCATCACAGATGATTTATTTAATCAAATGCAGATGTAACATACATGTGAACTACTGGGTCTGGATCCATGCTTGTTGTGAGGCAAGTAGGACTCCAAAACAGAAGTTAGAGCAATCAGAAAGCAGCATCTTAAGGAAGCGTACTGCAAGGGTGAAATCTGCTGCTCTACACGTGTTACTCTTCCCTCTGCTGCCCCAGCTTTGCCCGGGTTTAGTTTAACTTAGCATCTCTCATCTACAGAAGATCTCAGATAATGATCCTCTGCTGACAGTTCAAATTCTCACACTTTAATCTGTGGATGTTGATATACTATATTTTAATATATATATTAAAAAAAAAAACAACTCATCCTGCCTTGGTAGCCCCTAAATGGACTTGATTCTGGTAAAAAATATTAGCGCTAATAGAAATTCTGAATGCTATTAGGCTTCCAGATGCCCAGTGAGAACTATTTGTGTGCTTTTAGTGGAAGAGATCTCAAGAAATACTAGCAGCTTGTCTTGGAACCTAATGCTGCCAGTAAGTCAGGATAAAGCATGCCAGGAACTATATGTAGCTGTGAAGTTGAAAAAGGGAAGCGAAACAGTGTAAATACTACTTAATTGAACATTTTTGTCTACTGTGCTTAACAAGGTTTGGATGTGAACCTGTTAAACACAGTCCATTTCCAAGTATGATGGAAATGTGACCGTGGCAGAATTTTCCTTAAATTTTTTAGATGTTAAAAATTTGTTGCTCATTGAGACATGAAATGTGTTCAGCTGTGAATTAAATGATGCACTATTGAAAGTGGGCAGCAGCTGTCTGTGCCCACCAAGCATGCAGTGCTGCACAAGGGCAGGGGCAGCAGTGTTGCTGGCATTTTAATTGGTAAATCACACCTGGAAAGTTATTCAGTAATCAGAGTATGGAAGCAATTTTCAATAGGCAGTGCTGAGGATTATCTATTTCACTTCCTCTTGCATCACCTTCACAATTGATCCAATACATGTTCACAAATGGTGCTGCAATGGCCGAACAGCCTCCTCCAGAGGTGGACAGGCTGGGTGGGGGCTACAGGCACTGATAACCAGCTGCTTGGGTAGAAGAGCCATGTCATGCAGGCAGCTTTGGAGGAAGGCAGAGGGGTGGCAAAATGACAGGTCTTCCAGCCTTTCAGTTGCAGGAGAGAAGAGAGGGACAGAGATGCAGCACCAGTGAAGTGCTTCAGTGTCAGGCCACAGGACGTAAGAAGTGCTTTTGCTGCCTGCTCGGGCAGCAGCAGGATGTGCTGCGGTGGAGTTACTCCTCGAGCAGAAGATGCTAGCTTTCTGCTCCGTACCACTCACCCCGCCCACTCTTATCCTTTTGCCTCGTTCTACCTTGTGGTAGCACAAGGATGATTGTGAGGATTGCAGTGCTCTACTTCAAAGTGACAATTGGCAGCTGCTGCAATTACGGTGGAGAAAAGGGGAGCTACGCCACCACTGCTTCCTCCCCCTGCTGCGGTAGCAGCCTTTGCTTCAAAGCACTTTGCTGCTCTAGGGCAGGCTCTTAAGTTGAATTCAGTTTACAGGAGACCCAAAAAGCTTACATATGCAGCTATCAAACTATACTCAAGATGCTGGTTCAAACCACCACTACCTACTTTAATGAATCAAAGCAATTTAAAATCTCGAAGTTGTGAGCACTGATCTTTCTTATACCACTGGCTCAGAATAATTACTGGAGCAGAAGCTTGCCTAGCAGCCAAGAACTGTAGTTTGGCTGGCTTAAGAACAAAGGAAAGTAATATGCAGTAGAGGTATGATTTTTTTCTATTCTGAATGTTGTCCAAAGCAGTCCTTTACAACGTTGGATTTTTCTGGTGGTTATCTTGCTTAAGGCTTAAGCACAGGCAAGGCTGATAATTGGTACAGGATTTTTTGCTTAGGATGGCCATGTCTTCCATGTATTCATAGTTCTCTTAGTGTACCATTCATGTACAGCTGTTGGGACTTCAATGTCTGTCAGACATGTCAGTGGTAGCAGGTCCTTCCATTTTCCCACCAACTTTTGTCTTAAAGAAAAACACAACAGCTTAGAGAGTTGCCTACAGCCATTTGCTGGCTAGACAGCTTTTCCACTTGTTTTGGTTTTTTTAAAGGCAGCTATGTTTTTCTGTGCCTCTCTAATTTAGTAAAAGATTGCCCTACTTTAGTCTTGGTTTGAGCTGAATTACTCTTTTTGAGTCCTTGGATTTAGTTGTTATGACATGTATATGATATCAGGCAGTGCCTTTATAATGGTGCATCAAAAGCTGAATATAAGAACTGTAAACTTCTTCCTTACTTATTGAAGAAAAAGGTCATGCTTTCCCCAAGAAATCTGTTGCAACCACCATACGAAGTTTACCTTCTAAGCAGTCTGCCAATAGAGTTCACATTAACTCTTCACCTCCACTCTTCCTCATCCTGTCAGTGTTGCTATGTCTTAACCTGAGCTAGCATGAAAAAAAGAGCTGCCTTAAGCATTGCTGGGGCGGGGGGGAAGCACCATTGTGCAGGTATGAGGCATTACCATCTATGAGCTTTAAGCTACTCTTTACTTCCTTTGATTTTGGCCTTCTTTTTCCCCTCAAATTTCTTAAGGAAATGACAGGATTTGTACACCTTTAAACATAAAGGCTGGAGACACATTCTTTGTGAAGATAGCCCAAACAGAAACTGGGGAGGGTTGGGGGGCCAGGGAACAGACACAGTTGGATGTTAAGGTTTTCTAGGTAGGTTCTTGAATGCTCAGTGAAGCCTTTTTGCTGTGCCACCATTTGTTGCTGTGCCACCATTTCTTGCTGTATTAGTTAAGCTAAAACACAGCTAACCCAAAACAACAGAAACACTTGTCCTTACAGTATTTTTAATAGCAGAAACTGTATTTAAATCAACCCGTAATATATAGCAAGCCTTCTTACCTCTGCTCACACTCTTCCCAAATACCTTAAGGGAAGATCAAAAAAGATGTTCAGGCAGCAAAAGTATTACTTTATATAGTTGATTTCATTAATTAGTTGATTTTAATTTCTTTTGGGAAAGGCCTTACTTTCAGTAGCTATTAGAATGGTTTGTTATCAGTTGTCATGCTTAAAAAGTGCTTGGTTTAGTCATGGTAGCTTGTCTAGGTGCACAGAAAATGCAATTCTAACCATAAACATCACACAAGTGAAACTGGACTGAGAAACATCCTTGATAACCTGAGATATCTTCAGGGACATAGCATGTATCACCAAAAATTCCACTTCGTCTACAATTGGGATCAGCTCCCGAAGAAGCAAAAATAAGCAAGAGCTTCATACAGGTGCAGGCCATGTCTACAGTGACTCAGTCTCAAGCATCAAATTCACAAACGGACATTGCCTAGAAGTACTGCAGCACCAAAGAGAGACACAGTTCCATCAATTACTATGTTTAGTCTTCTATTCCACTACCTTTTAGAGGCCAGATGTTGTCTGTGTGAGAACAGGAAAAACAGCCACAAGAGCAGCAGGATGGGCTGCACATCTTCGGTGTGCTAGTTCTGCTAGGCCCAGATACTCTCCCCTCCCCACTGAGATCCAAGGCAAAAAAGGGTCAGTAAGCTGTGTTGCACTTTAATTGCACCAATACAGTTAAATATTAAATGGAGAAAGCAACTCTACATAGCAAATGGAAAACAAGCATTTACACAGTAAATCTGTAAGATGTACAGACTATGTAGTTTTAACCCAGTTGTCTATACATTAATATCCCACTGCAATTTTTGGCGTTAAAATTATTTTAAATGGAAAACAAAATGAACATTTTCAGGTTCATGTAGAATTGGCAAATTGCCAAGAAACAAACTTTCCTCCCTCATAAGCCAACACTAATGTGGGGTGGGGGGAAGGCAGGACAGGACACCCTAGGCTTTTTCATACCAGGAGAATTGCATTGGCCATCATTCCATCTACTAGCATGGGTAGAAATGAGCAACACTTTTCCGAATACACTTGATTTCCCCCATATACCCCAAAAGGGGCATATCGTGTTATCCTGCCAGGATAGTTACCCAAGGGGAGTTAACACTACTGAGTTAGACACTGATCAGTAGCAAAGCTATCCTCCCAAGCACGGTCAGTGTCAAGTGGAGAGGACATGTCACTGAAGGGCGACAGGGATCCTTCATATCCAGAGTCGCTACAGGCATCCAACAGATAGCTTGAGGCTGCAAGGCTACGATGAGAGGAAAGCAGATGAGAGATGCCCAGTTCAGGCATGAAGCTGTCTACAGGTTCCTCTTTCACAGATACTGGGACCTCAGGCATAGCTTTGTCTTCAGATGGAGAGAGAGATACTTCCTCAATTTTCACTAGCATATTGGTTTGGTTGCCCATTTTAACAGGAATCTCCAGTATCAGGGGCTTTGTGTATACATGATCAAACCTTATCAGTTCATTAATGGCCTCCAGCTTAGCTGATGGGGACCCCAAAGAGGGAGAGGGGGAGGTTGGTATGGAATTTGTTTCTCCACAGATCTCTTCCTCCAGCTTTTCCAGGCACGTTGACCCTGAATCAGCATACTTGAGAAACATCTCTGGGTCCAGACTGTCCAGAAAGCCCAACAGGAGATCAGACTGCAGAATGAAATACTGTTTTAGAGAGACAGCCTGCTACTGTTACAGCAAAACATCCGTTCTAGTATCTATTAACCCTCATCTGGAAGTTAACATATGCTAGTGTGATCATAGAACTAGGAGTTTTACTAGTAACACCACTATCAGAACAGAGAGTTAAGGCAGTTACTCATCTTTCAGAAATTCTTTGTCCATTAACATTTTTGTAAGGGTACTGGCAACCCCCATAGAATTCCACATGCATTTGATATTCACAGCCTCTATTAGAAACTCCTCAAGATCTTCGACCCATCAGGCACAAACGCCACACTACCTGCTGGCTCCACAGAGCAAGTACCAGAACCTGGCTTAGGCAGACCTGTCCATGACCAAAGTTGGAGGTTTTGTTTTGGTGGTTTTTTTGTTGTTGGGTTTTTTTTTTTTAAGGTAAAAGATGCCTGTCCTTACATTTCTGTAAGTCACTCATAAGGGACAGGCTTTAAGTTCGACCAGCTTTCCTAAGTGCCAGCACAACGATCAAGTTTGTTTTCAACAAGAGTAAAAGCACAGTATGCTTTTGGTATTTGTACACTTTTGCTGTAAGAGCTAAGAGACTTCCAGGCAATATCCTCTAAGATTTTATTGAAACTGGACTTTTTCAAGTGCATGAACTCCTGTACTCACTGGATACAGCCTAACACAGCTGTGCTGAGCCACAGGTATGGCATTCCAAGACTTGGAAAACAAGGCAACTAGGAGAGTCATCAAGTGTTTTTACATCAAGAAGTTACAACACTAGTCTTAAATCCACAGTGGTTCTGAATTTCACAGCCGTTTTGGATAGGAGTGGATTCTCACCTCTGAGTCTGAAGAGTCACTGCCATCAGAATCCACGTGGAAGTTATCAGAAATGGTGACTGCTGGGCCTGCACCTGCTGCAGAGGAACACGTAGTCTGAGTGCTGCGGACTCAGCGGACCCGGTCACCAATCTAATCTCATCCACCTGCGATTCCTTCACAACCTGTGCCAAGGAAAAAATCCAGTCAGTCAACACAGATGTTCTGGCAGACAGTACAGTCCATAATCCTGAAGATCACGCTCATCCTGCAAAGGCTTCCAACATTAGATTCTCCACTTGCTTGTGCAGTAGGAACCTGGGTAAGACCACTTCCAAAGTTGGCTCAACCTTCCATATATTTGCAGATTTATTTTGCTCACCACTTTTAAATGGGAGCCTGACCCCCTCCACTACACTCCCTGTTCTTTCGAGACGGGCATACATGACTGTACAGTTACTACTTCATTTCTAGAACACAATGTAGAAGAGCAGATGAAATAATCTTAAAACAGCTTGGAACTAGTCAGCTCGCTATCTCCCACGCTGCCAGTGGCACCCACTTCAGACTCAGTATCTGTTCAGTCTGTGGGAATGCCTCCCTTTGGAGCACAAGAGTGTTGCTGGCACACGAAGCATCCCTCCTCACAGCCCGGCAGCTTCAGCCCGAGGGCTCTCCGTACAGGGGTCACCCTTCTCCGCCCACCGCCACGCAGTTCCTCGTGGAGCACGGCAGCTCCGGGCAGGTTCTGCCGAGGAGGGAGACAAGCCACCAGCGCGGCAGAAGGCTCACCTGGGACTCGCTCTCCTCCTCCGTCTTCAGAGCATCTAAACCCAGGCGGCAGCGAAGCTCCTGGTTCTCCAGAGCAAGGTTACACGTCTTCTCCCGCAAGAGCTGGTTTTCCAGCAGCAGCTTCTGGTTCTGCGGAGAGCCGTGAAGCAGGGAGGCCACAGCGCCGGCCGCGGC